GGTGACTTACCAAAGGGTGTATAGCAAACAGTGCTGTTAAGTCCTCTTCCATGAAAACATGCATGTTGTGCATTGTATCTGCCTGGGTACATAAAAGAGTGAAGTTTCTGTCTGATTTGCAATCATATGAGCGAATTGTCTGAGACCCCAGCCCAATCTGGTTTGGTGCTCACAGAATAATAGAGCTCTTATTATTATTATTTTTTTCTTTGCTCCATTGGTGGAGATTTCCTAGAAGTTGCAGGATATCTTCCTTTTAATTTTTCCTCAACACTCTGACTTTACTTAGGTCTCTCACCTTTGCTTTCCTCTCATCTCCCACCCGCAATAGTAACTTGTTCCAGACTCACTTTGCTCAAGTGTCTAGGAGATCACACAAAGTGTCTGCCACCAGCATTCCTGGTATTCCCCACGCTCTGGGCTTCTGCTTCCAGTCCAGGAGCTGCCAGCAGAACTACGATTCCCAGAATTCTTGATGCTCCCTGCACTCTTAGTTTCTGTTTCCAGTCCAGGGGCTGCAGAAACCAAAAGAACTTGGAACTCCAGCTGCCCCCCTGGCCGGGCTGACAGGACCAGACACTCTAGTGGCAGCTGAGCCAAAAGGCTGGATCCGTCTGAGGTGGTAGATCCAGCCTCACCGCTCAGCCCTCACTCCCCCCACCCCCCCTGTTGGGCTGATAGGATCAGACCCTCCAGTGGTGGGGCTGAGGGGACTGGGCACTGTCATCTTTGTGATGGAGTGATGGTTAATTTACATATTACCCTTTTATTACATAGCATTAGATCATATGGATAATAAATAGACTGAGCTCCAAAATGGCATCTGCATTCAGGGATGGGGAGCCATGAGGTTTTATAGGACTCTAGGCAAGCTTTTTCTGGGCAGAGAATTCTCTGACTGGTCTGGATCTGGGCAAGTCTAGAGGGAAGAAATAATGGTCTCAGGAAATGGAAGGTGGTCTTAGCAAGTGGAATGTGATCTAAGCAAAAGGGAGTGTTCATGGTGAAGTGGTCTAAAGGCCAATTCAATTATTTGATCAGACCTAACACCACATAGAGAATATAGTCAAAAATTATAACTATGTATTATGCCAGATGAATACTAGAAACATCAGGGAAACTTCACTTTGTAAAGTAAATGATTATCTAACCACTATGCTTATGCCTAAAACTAATATAATGTTGTGTATCAACTATAATTGAAAAAAAAATATTTAGAAAAAGAATACTCTACCAATCTAACTTCTGAAATGTGAAATTCCCAGGAGAATTTCCAAAGAGGAAATTTTGGGGATTCAGAATAAGTCACCCCAAGATGTGTCTCTGTGGTATGCAGATTATTTTGACCTAAAGGCAACTTCAGCTACAGGCTTATGAGAAACTTTTTCCCCCCTCCCTTAAGTACATATAATAACTTGAGTTAGGTGTCTTGCCCATAATAAGTAATTATGAGAGATAACCTCTTTTGACCTATCTATAAAGCAGGACAAATTTCCTATTTACTAAACACCTGCTCTTCTTATATCTTGCAATGACCCTTTGAAGCCTCCAAGGTACTTCATCCCAAGCTCAGACTGTTTTATATACCTCAGTAAATTTTTCTATCTCTGAAGCTCTCCTGTATATGGGGTCTCTGACTGTCCCATGTATTCAAGGTTCCCATACATATGTATGTATTACATTTGGTTATTTTTCTCTTGCTCATCTCTTTCATGTCTATCTTATTATTAGACCAGCTAGAAGAACCTTGGGGGAGAGAGCAGTTTGTCTTCTTCCACATTATATAGCCACAAGCCAGTTTCTTCTTAGATTTCACTTTCCTCACTAAAAAGTGAGTCTAAGTATAATCACTTATTCTTTTATTTACACAATTAACACTTCATTGTATGGTGCCTGGTACCCCGTGGTGCATTAGAATGGAATGTGCTTCAGGGTGGAATGCAAAGGCTTGAAAGGAGTATCCCATCCTTGGGAGTATATAGTCAAGCAGAACATAGACATAGAATCAGTTCTTGCTGCACACCAGTGTCACCTGGACTGGTGAAAAAAATTTTTAAAAATCTTGATGCTGTTCTCAGCCTTGACTGGGATTTCTGAGTGAAAAAGGTCTGAGGTACGGCTTAAAGGAAAACCCAGCTAGTAACACACATTGACCAACATTGCTCTACAGTCATTTTCAGAAAATTCCTTCACACCTAATTTGTTGACTGATGTATTAAGACCCTGGTCAGCAAACTGCGGCTCGCGAGCCACATGCGGTTCTTTGGCTCCTTGAGTGTGGCTCTTCCACAAAATACCATGGCCTGGGCGACTCTATTTTGAAGAAGTGGCGTTAGAAGAAGTTTAAGTTTAAAAAATTTGGCTCTGAAAATAAATTTCAGTCATTGTACTGTTGGTATTTGGCTCTGTTGACTAATGAGTTTGCCGACCACTGTATTAAGGAAATCTCCAATCCTGAGATAGGGTGTCCCCATTCCCACACACCTTATGGCAGCTCAAAATGAGTCAGAAGTTCCCCTGAAAGTCTGATGAGTGAGTTGGCTCCAAATCTTATCTGTTTATAACTGATAACAAGACCTGGGAGTCTGGGGGCCCACCACTTGATCTCCAGCTGCTCCTAAGCAACTCCTTCCAGCTGGGACTCATTAACCAAGCAAACCTGGGTTCTTCTGCAGTGAAATGCAAAGTTCTTTTTATAAGACCTTTAAGTAAATAAGAGCAAGTGACAGAATGCTGAAAAAAGAGATTTAGCAACTTTATCACCTCTAGGCCATCAGCTCTTTCTCTCCTTAGGGGCTGACTTTAGATCTTAAGCAAACAACCTTAAGAGGTGGGACATTCCATGGCTATTTCTAGCCTCTCAATTCTGTCTTTCTGGCAAAACATTTTCTTTCTTATTTCTATAATTTCCATTTATAAAGTGCATATTTTCAAAACCTTATTTGATTTAAGAAATATCATGATGTCAGAGATTTGCTTTAAAAACTTAAAGCAAAAGCATGTGGGAAATAAATTTGCTAGGATTGGCAAAAGTTGATATTTGTTGAACCTAGGCAGGTTTATGGGAGCATTGTCCTAGCTTTTGTGTAAATTTGGAAGTCCACAATATAAATTTAATTAAAAATAACTGTGGGGGAAAGTTAGATTTCAGCTACCACTTTTAAAATGCTAATGTTAGATAATTTAATATATTAATACTAAATATTAATATTTAATATTAGGATTGGATTTAATGTCATCCTGTAGATGAAACAGTTTTTATACTTCTTATTCAAGTATATATAATCCTTTAGCTTATACCCAGTTTCATTTTAGTACATAAGCCAGTTAGGTTGTATAGAAGTTTCTACTGATTTAAGGTAATAAATGTACTTACTTTTTTTTAAAATATATTTTATTGATTTTTTAACAGAGAGAAAGGGAGAGAGATAGAGAGCTAGAAACATCGATGAGAGAGAAACATCGACCAGCTGCCTCTTGCACACCCCCTACCAGGGATGTGCCCGCAACCAAGGTACATGTCCTTGACCAGAATTGAACCTGGGACGTTTCCAGTCCACAGACCGACACTCTACCACTGAGCCAAACTGGCTTCGGCTAAATGTACTTACTTTTATGTGGAACTAAATTATGGAATTAACAAGAAGTAACAAATTTAATATGTGTTTGTCATGATTTCAATTACAGATGTTTCATAAAGGTGCTAGGTGTCATCCTCAGCATGTCCTGACCACTAGGATCTGCTGGTCCCAACCTGGTCCTGGCAGCTCACAGAACCAGTGGTTGGGAGGCCTCACTGCAGCCAGGCTCACTGACTCACTTTTGGTTTACTTAACAACCTTTTCAATAAACCTCACATTTAAAGGTTTAAAAATGTAAATCAGTAAAAAGACAAAATCGTCATTGAAAGAAGCATGCTATTTTTAGAAAGCAGTTTTTATATCAAAATCACAGAACAATTTGCACCAAACTCGCAAGGTGTCCTCTGTAGTGTTCATAAAAGAGCTCCGAGGATCACTATTTTAGCAATTAGAAAAACTGAGACTCAAAGTCTCAAAAGAGGTTCCTAAATCACTCCCTTCTTGGATTCAGATGATGGTGGTTAGCAATTACTCCACTGTTCCCAGGTATTTGCATGCTGAGCACCGTAAAACCTTCTTCTCATACTATCTATATATTTCATGTTTTTCAAATATCTAGCTGCCACAAGGGTCTTAAACACTAAGCCTTAGTTTCTTCATCTTTTACCTGGGGGATTAATAATAGTGCTTCCCCAGAGCAGGGCTATATGAAATGAATAATGCATATGACTTATTTACCACTATGCTGGGCACAGAGAAAAGGCTCAGTCTGTGAAAATATTGACAAATCCTCAGAGAGCAGGTGTTGAAGTGTCTCCCTTTATATTCATGCTCCCCATTTAAGAATTTTGGGATCTAAGCCTGCTGGTTATTCCCCACATAACAACTCTCTTTTCTAGCTGGACTCCTTTCATCTCCCAGTATAGAGTTAGCAATATAAAAACTCAATTTTCCTATGAAAACAAATTTGTTCACATTGGGGTCTTAACTTTTTTTTTTTCCAGTGAGGGAAATACTTGTTGCCTTGGTCATCAATGTTTTACATTGGGGTTAGTTTACTCTTGCTGCTGTCAGCACTGTAAACTGTCCCGGAGAGATATTCAGCCATGTCTCCACCCCCCTTCTCCCAGCTGAGTCTCATTGAGAGGATAGTCCTTGAGGCTCTGTATGGCCCAGCTTCACAACAGGCAATTGCCTAACAGCTTCCACATCTGAACTCAGAGATCTCATTGTTGTTTCCTGTGGCCTTGGCAGAGGGTAGGAAATACCTGAGTCTACAGTACTTATCCATTTGTATCCTGATGCAGTTACTCTAGGACCTTCAAATACAAAAACCATCATATTCAACTTCCTTGGAAATTGATCTTCAATATATTGATAAGAGAAGGATACTCTCATACCAGACCTGTCAGTGAGAAAATGACATGGAGCCACCCTATTAGGTAAGGACAGACCATCTAGATCTTAGAGTCAAGAGGGGCTGTTAAAAGCCTCCATAATAAATTGCAACACAGGCATGATTGTTCCTTCTCATTAAGATACTCTATGCTTTTTTGGTCTCAAAATCTTTCTAGCGATTACAACATTAATCAAAATCTACAAGTTACAAAATGATTGCATGATATTTATTCATTAAATATTACTTTATAATATGATTGTATTACATTTAATATGTGTACATTTCTGTTTATACTTTTTATATTTTAAACTTCAATACTTTTCTTTAAATATTCTAGGCTTCTGCTTATGATCAGTTTAGTGTTACAGATCATCCATTTGGGAAACAGTAAGCATTTATTTACAGTCTTTTAGTTTTTATTGTGTATTTGTTTCTCAATCATTTTCAGCTTCATATTTTCAATGTTTTTACAAGGCTATCAAAGAGAGAAACATAAAGGCAGTAGAGAAGAAGTCAACAACGCTACAGTTCAGAAGCTCCAACAGAAAACACTCAACTGGACTTTGAATAATTTTAGGGAGATGAATGGGAGCCTGGAGAGCTGGAGGTCTCAGGACTTATTTTCCCATTCCAGGGCTTTCCAAGAGCGTAAGTCCCCAGGCTGTTTTAAAGCCTTTGCAATCAGCTCAGTCATTGAACTCCAAGTTTAGGGTCTGAAAAATCCTGAGATATATTAAAGATAAGACAAGAAACCCAATAGAGAACATTTTATCATTTTCAAATGAAGATACACTATAAAATAAATTTTTTCCTAGTGAAGTGTTCTTTTACTCTGGAAAAAACGTTTTACTATTTCATTGTAAAACGTTGCATTTGCTCTTGAAAATTTTATCTTTATTGTTTGAAGTATTATTGAAGTTTATCTCTCCCCTCCCTAATTGACTCCTTCCACCTCGCTTCCCTCTCCCCCACCCCAGGCCTACTGTCCATGTGCATTTGCTCTTAAGTGGGTATTTTTCTCAGGTCCAGAAAGATGATTGAAACGTATTTAAAACAAATATCCCAAACCCAAGACTTTGCTCCGCTTATTGCAGACTCTCAGGCGCCAGATCCCACGTTCTCAGGGGGGGCCCTCTGGCGGAGGTAGGGGGGGTGAGGGGAGAGGTTGTGGGGGGGGTGGGGTAGGGAGGCAGCATTGCACCGTGGGTGGTCCTCGCCTGGGAGGCCGTCTTCAATCATTGTCAGGAAAGTCACATCCCGAATTTAACATGTGAAAGAAAGAAAGAATGTTAAGAGGTAGGGAAGAAGGGAGAAAGAAAACCCTAAAAACCCTACTGCTGGGGGCAGGGTTTCACGTCTGTCATCCTACTTGTTCCTAACCCAACTTCACCCAAGGTAGTTTGTTTTTAATCCTTCAATTAACAAGCAGGGTTTACCTGAGCAAACACACTAATCTGGGAGCTAATTTTATTGCTTCCCTGTGGCAATCTCCTCATGCCCTCTTCCGGCGGGCAGCTCACTAAGCTCCTAGCTGACGCCTTGGCGACCCTCCTAGGTGCATTCCCGCCCCAGCGTTGCTGTATGAACGGCGGCACCTGTGTGCTGGGCAGCTTCTGCGTGTGCTCCGTCCATTTCACCGGCCGTTACTGCGAGCACGACCTGAGGCACAGGTGAGTGCAGAGATGAGCGGGATGGCGGACCGTGGTGAGAGGTGAGGGGTGGGATGCACACGCTGGCTGTACTAACGCGGGATCTCGGCCTCTTAAGCGAGTGCGGCAACCTGGTGCACGGATCCTGGACCCTCTGCGGTTGCCGGCTCTGTAGGTGTGTCTTCGGGGCACTGTACTGCCTTCCTCGCCAGACACCCAGCCACTGCGGTAAGGGCATACATATCCTGTGCTCATAGTCTACACATGCAAACAATGGCTCCTTTATATACAATCCATAGAGCGACACAGATACTGGGTTGATTCATTATTCAGGAAAGTTACATTTATTGTGAATCACATAGTGTATTATTTAAAAATTTACAATGCAGTATTATTATGTACTGTAGTGGCCATCCCTGTGAGTTATTTTTATAACTGGAAGCTTGTATGTCAACCATTTCACCACCCCTCTCACCTTGCCCCCACAACTTGGCAACCACAAATCTGTTTTCTGCGTCTATAAGTTCCCCATTTTTTTTGGTTGCTGTTTAATATTCAACATATATGACATCATATGGCAGTTGTCTTTCTCTGTCTGACTTATTTCACTTAGCATAATCCCTCAAGGTCCATCTATGCTATTAGAAATGGTAAGGTTTCCCATTTTTTATGTCTGAATACTTTTACATATATATACTAGAAGCCCAGTAGTGCATAAAGTTTGCGCTTGGGGGTGAAGGGTAGGGGAAGGGCCCTCTCAGCCCAGCCTGCACCTTCTGCAATCTGGTACCACTTGGGGGATGCCCAATCTCTGGGATCTGGCCTAAACTGGCAGTCGGACATTCCTCTCACAATCTGGGATCTCTGGCTCCTAACTGCTCATCTGCCTGCCTGCCTGATCACCCCAACTGCTCCCCACCTTGCGCCCCCTCCCCCATTGGCATGGTCACCCCCATACAGCCTGCTCAGTCATTTGGTCGTCCCTTACTAACACCCCTGCCTTCCTGGTCGTCCAGGCAGCCTGCTGTTTTGTTGTTACTGTTGTTGTGACTGTCAGGCAATTTGCATATTCCTCTATTATTAATATAGATTCCCTTTATCCTGTCATCCACTGATGTATACCTGTGTACTTATATATCTTGGCTATTTGTAAATAATGCTGCAGTGAACATGGGGATGCAAATATCTTTTGGAATTAGTGATTTGGATTTCCAAATATCCAAAAGTGGGATTGCTGGTTTGTATGGAAGTTCTCTTTTTAATGTTTTGTGGAACCTTTATACCGTTTTCCATAATGGTTGTGTCAGTTTACATTCCCAATAGCAGTACATAAGGGTTCAGGATCTGATTCTCAAACACTGTGCCATTTCTATACTCTACCTATAAGAATAATCATCGAGCTGAAACTGGTTTGGCTCAGTGGATAGAGTGTCAGTTTGTAGACTGACAGGTCCCAGGTTCGATTCCTGTCAAGGGCACATACCTTGGTTGTGGGCACATCCCAAGTAGGGGGTGTGCAGGAGGCAGCTGATTGATGTTTCTAATTATCTCTCTCCCTTCCTCTCTGTAAAAGAAAAAAATCAATAAAATATATTTTAAAAAAGAATAAGCATTGATACAAAATAAAGAAGATATTTTTTGCTTTAAAAATTTTTTAATAGTTGATACTACAGAAAATCTTCCATTTTTTCCTCCTTTCTCCCCCTCCTCCCAGCCCCAACCACTCTAGAAGTCTTTACTCTTCACTACCCTATTGTCCGTGTCAGTGGGCTATACATATAAGTATATAGGTTCTTTGGTTTATTTCTTCTCATTCCCCAACCCCACAGTGAGGTTTGTCAGTCTGTTTCATGCCTCCCTGCTTTGGGTCTTATTTTATTGGTCAATTCATTTTGTTCATTAGATTCCACAAATAAATGACATCATGTGATATTTGCCTTTCTCAGATTGGTTTATTTCACTCAGCATAATATTTTCCAGGTCCATCCTTGCTGTCCCAAAGGGTAAGAGATCACTCTTTTTTACAGCTGCCTCGTATTCCATAGTGTAAATATCCCACAGCTTTTTTCCTCCCATTCATCTACAACTAGACACTTGGGCTGTTTCTAAATCTTAGCTACTGTAAATAATGATATGAACAGAGGAGTGCATATATTCTTTCTGATTGGAGTTTTGGTGTTTTAAGAATATATTCCCAGAAATGGGAACTCTGGATCAAATGGAAGTTCCATTTTTAATTTTTTAGGAAACTCCATACTATTTTCCATAGTAACTGTACCAATCTGCATTCCCATAAGCAGTGAACTAGTGTTCCCTTTTCTCCACATTCTCACCAGCACTTGTTTGTTGATTTTTTAATTATAGCCTTTCTGACAGGTGTGAGGTGATATCTCATTATGGTTTTAATTTGCATTTCTCTGATGATTATAGAGAAATATCTATTCAGGTCTTGTGCCCATTTTTTAATTAGTTTGTTTGTCTTCTTTTTGTTGAGCTGTATGAGTACTTTACATATTTTGAATATTAATCCATTTCAAATCTATAATTGGCAAATATGCTCTTCCATTCAGTGGGTTCCCTTTTTAATTTGATGGTTATTTCTTTTGCTATACAGAAGATTTTTATTTTAATGTAGTCCCAATTGTTTATTTTCTCCTTTTGGATTTTAGTAGGGATTGTGTTGAATCTATAATATATATTGCATTGGATAGTATAGACATTTTAATGTTGTTAATTCTTCCAATCCAGAAACATTGTATACACTTCCTTTTGTTTCTATCTTCCTCTATTTCTTTTTTCAATGTCCTGTAGTTTCCCAAGTACAGGTCTTTTACTTCCTTGGTTAAGTTTATTCCTAGGTATCTTTTTTGTTGTTGTTGTTGTTGCAATGGTAAATAGGATTGTTTTTTAATTTTTTTCTCTGAGAGTTCATTATTGGTGTATAAAGATTCCATTGATTTCTACATGTTGATTTTGTATCTGCTATCTTGCTGAATTCATTTATTAAGTCTAGTAGTTCTCTGGTGGAATCTTTAGGTTTTTCTATATCATGTCATCTGTAAATAATGACAATTTTGCTTCCTCATTTCCAATTTAGATGCCTTTTATCTCTTCTTCTCATCTGTTGGCTGTAGCTAGGATTTCCAGTACTATGTTAAATAAGGGTGGTGAAAGCAGACATCCTTGTCTTATTCCTGTTTTTAAGCGAAACCCTTTTAGTTTTGGTCATTGAGTGTTATGTTTCCTGTAGGTTTGTCATATATGGGCTTTATTATGTTGAGATATGATCCCTCCATTCCCACTTTTCTGAGAGTTTTTATCAGAAAAGAATGCGGTATTTTGCTTTTTCTGCATCTATTTATATGATTATGTGGTTTTTATCTTTCAATTTGTTTATGTTATATATCAAATTATTGATTTGCAAATATTGTGTCAGCCTTGCATCCCTGGAATAAATCCCACTTGATCATGGCGTATGATCTTTTTAATATATTGCTGGATCTGATATGCTAATGTTTTGTTGAGAATTTTAGCATATATATTCAACAGGGGCATTGGCCTGTAATTCTCTTTCTGTGTAGTGTCTTTATATGGTTTTGGAGTTAGAAAAATACTGGCTTCATCTGTTCAAAAAATGAACAAACTTGGAAGTGTGCCTTCTGGAATATTTTGGAATAGTGTGAGGAGGAAAGGTGTTAGTTTTTCTTTGAATGTTTTGTAAAATTAACCTGTAAATCCATTTGATCTAGGACTTTTATTTTCTGGAATTACTGCTTCAATTTATTTTGAATTACTGCTTCAATTTCATCAGTTGTTATTGGCCTACTCAGGTTTTCTGATTCTTCCTGATTGAGTTTTGGAAGATTGCATATTTCTAGGAATTTTTCCATTTCACCCAGGTTCATCTAGTTTGTTGGCATATAGTATTTGTTTACAATCCTTTGTATTTCTGTGTTATCTGTTGCTATCTTGGCTCTTTCATCTCTTGTTTGATTTATTTGGATCCTCTCACTTTGTTTTATTATTATTATTTTATTTTTTATTAAATTATTATCTGTGTACATATCTAACCACTGCCGCCCCCCCCCCCCCATACATGCCCTCTCTCCCCAGAGTTTTGTGTCCATTGGTTGTACTTATATGCAAGTATACATGTCCTTCGGTTGATCTCTTATCTCCCTCAGATCTCCCTACCCTCCCCGCTGTAATTTGACAGTCTGCTTGTTGCTTTACTGTCTCTATATCTATCTTTTGGTTCATCAGTTTATAATGTTCTTTATTATCCATAAATACTCTCTCTTTGTTTTTGATGAGTCTAGCTAGGGTCATGGGGAGTCAGCAAACAGAGGGATCAGCGTGATTCTTTTCAAAGAATCAGCTCTTGGATTTATTGATCTTTTGTACACTTATTTTATTTTTTTTAGTTTCTATGTCATTTATTTCTGCTCTGATCTTTATTATTTCATTCCTTTTACTTCCTCTGGGCTTTTATTGCTATTCTCTTTCTAATTAACTTAATTTTAGGTTTAGATAGTGTATTAGTCCTTTTTTTATTTGAGTTAGGTCTGTAGTGCTATGAACTTCCCTTTCAGAACTGCATTCGCTGTGTCCCATAGGTTTTGAGTGGTTGTGTGCTTGTTTTCATTTGTTTCCAGGAAGTTTTTAAGTTCTTGCTTGATTTCATTGGTAATCCTGTCATTGCTTAATAATATGCTATTTAGTCTCCATGTATTTGAGTATTTTTTTTATTGTAGTTTATTTCTAATTTCATGCCATTGTGATTCGAGAAGATGTTTGGTATTACATCAATCTTTTTGAATTTGTGTAGGCTTGCTTTGTGCCCTAACATGCGGTCTATTTTTGAGAATGTTCCATGTGCACTTGAGAAGAATGTACACTGAGTGGTCAGATTATTATGATATCTGAACGCTTGGTGCATGAATTCATGCATGGGTGGGGTCTGGCCAGCCTGGCCAGGGGGAGAGGACGTGGGCAGTTGGCTGGCCTGCTTGCTGGTCGAACTCCTGGTCCTGATGGAGGGGATAATTTGCATATTAGCCTTTTAAAATATATATGATATTCTCTGAGTGGCCAGATTATTGATTTTTTACAGAGAGGAAGGGAGAGGGATAGAGAGAAACATTGATCAGCTGCCTCCTGCATACCCCCCACTGGGGATGTGCCCATAACCAAGGTACATGCCCTTGACCAGAATCGAACACTCTATC